TGTTCTGCCTGGTCTGTTTTACATTTGTTTTCAATGTCAGTTTAAAGGCAATTGTTAAAAACAGGCAAGCTATGAGTTTATCCACAGTTATTTCTCCCACAGTAGAGAGGCAGAGCATTTGAAAACGCCTCCAAGCTCCAAACAGTTGTTTTTAACAGCCTGTTAATTACCAGTCACTTGTTGGGTATAATAGAGCTGCCTGTGACCTGCAGCTCTCCTTATGTTTAATGGGAGGAGGAGGTGACACACTGAATACCTTATTTAGGACTCTCTGCTTTGGCACAGAATGGCAATATGTCGAAGCACTTCATTATTGATTGAGATCACTCTGACCTGCAAGCTGAAATCCATTAAACAGAATCTTGTCTCCTGATCAACACTGTAAAGCCTGAGGAGGAAAAGGAAAAAAAAAAAAGAAAAAAAAGAAAAAAAAAGAAGTGATAATGCCAGTTTTGTGTGCTCAGTTCTGCTGGTGCACTGTCCCGCCTCTCCCACAGCACCAATTCCTACTGCGAGCGCAGGTGCCTGCACATCTGCACGGATCCTGCCAGCCCTGTGCACGGGAAGCGTGCTGCTGCGCGCACATCTGCACGGATCCTGCCAGCCCTGTGCACGGGAAGGTGCTGCTGCGCGCACATCTGCACGGATCCTGCCAGCCCTGTGCACGGGAAGGTGCTGCTGCGCGCACATCTGCACATCCAGACCCCTGTCCTGCCCCAGTCTGCACGCTGCACATCACTCGGCTGGTGCAACTCCTGCTGAGCTGCAAAGCTCTGGATTTAAGGCACCTCCTATTCGTTTGCTGCCAGTGCATTTTAATCTCGGCGTGCGAGGTCCCGTAGGCTGTTCCCGTTGTGAGAACCAAGCGCCTCTGCCCGCGGCCGGAGCTGGCAGCCCGCCTGCGCCGCGGGACGTCCGCTGCTGTGCACCTTCAGCCTAGCGACTGCGCTCCGTGTTGGTCCTGTCTTGCGGCAAAACCTCGCAAACATGTAAAATTCAGTTCGTTTCATTGATGGTAGGTCTGGAAAACTACTGTGATAACTGCCGATAGCCTGTAAAAGCCCGAGGCATGAGGCATACCTGTATTTAGTCCTAATTCAGGTCCAGTCACTGTGGTTAAAGTAGAGCTCATGTCTTATAAAAACATTTGCTATCGATGTAAGCCTTTCCAGCAGTGGAAAATCCAACACATTTTTTTGCCACACAGCTGCAGTAGTTAATTACGTTCAGTGTTGTGATAGATGTACCTTATTTTTCATCTCATCTATCCTTGATTTCCAGCAACTGGTTATTTATTACATCTTTGTTTGCTAGAATGAAAAAACTACTTTTACTGAATTTCTGTCCCTGCTGTGGGTATTTGTTGGCTGTGACTTAATAACCCTCTAGCCTTCTGCATAGCCACCTAGGTAAAATTCTTTACTTCCTTCCTCGAGGCGCATTGCCTAGTCTTTACCGTTCTTACGGCTTCTGCAGTCTGCAGACACCTCCCTCGTACGGGGAACATCTAATCAGAGTTTCCCAGTGTCAGCAGCGTCAGTGCTTGAAGGCGGTGGTAAGGTGCTCCCCAGGCCAGTGTTTTCGTCCTTCACACGGCATGGGATCCTGTTAGTCCCGTGTCCACTGACCCATCCTGCCAGCTGGGGCCTCTGTGCTTGCCCGTCTGCTTTGGGTGCGAGGTCAGGCTGCCGAGGATGGGGTTCAACATTCGTTGAATACGCTCACTTTTTCAGTTTCTCGATCTATCTACTTACAGTGAAATGCACTTTGCTTTAATAGACGGAGCTTATCAGCAGGCCTTAATCTGTTCAATTATCAGTCCTTAATGTTCGTTACTGTTTTCCCATCTTTGCATTGTCATCCAGACTTCAGTAGGCTTCAGTAGAAATGCTTAATTTTCTCTTTGGAATGAATGTAGACAGAGCAAAGGGCCACAACCAACCATGGTAAGAAACAAGCCCGTCTGATGTTGTTTCAACATTTATAATTACTTCTGAGATGTATCACCTGGGTAATTTAAAATCATTCAGGCGAACCGTCTGATTTTATATCATTCGAGTTTTTTAATTCATGTGGGCCAGACTGACTGAGATCTCTTAAACGTGTCTGCTATACCAGCACTGTTATAATTGTCAACTAAAATTATCCTGCCAGCAAAGATTGATAGCTTGACAGGATCTGGTTTTGACAAGCCACGTGTTGATGTTAATAAAAAATTTAAAGAACAGGATATGTCAAGTCCTGTTTCAGCTTCTCTGTCATTTTGCCTGCAGCTGGAATCAGCGTGCGGTGCCTGGGGCTGGCAGGATTTCTCTGTCATTGCTAGCACAAAAGCAGTTTTCTTCCAGGTCCCCAAAACTTCCCGGAGTCCCAGCACTCGTGAAAAACCCATGCAGGAGCCCAGAGCGCTCCTTCAGCAGCTTCAGAAGCGCCCGCGGGAGGGTGGGCAGGTTAAGTTGCTTAAAATGTGTGCGTCCCTCCGATCATTGCTCTATAGCATGCTCCCTAGGGATTCTTGCACTGGTGAATTATTTTATGGTGATACCGTATGATTATGTCCTGTAAGCTTTTTTCCCAAATACGTGCGCTATTTTCTCAGTTAAGCCCAAGCCGAATGCGGGCGCGATTGGGGTGCTGCTGTGCCAGCTTCCGAGGCTTCCCGAGCGGCGGGGGGCCCGCCGAGCGGCGGCGGCCCCGCCGACAGCCGAGCCGGTGAACCGCCTGTTTTCAGTCACACGTGCTGGGGTTCGTCCCACCTTGGTTTGGAGAAGTACAGTGTAGACTTCTGCCTAGCTTAGCTCATCCCAGAATAAAAGTGTAACAGATGTCTTTAATTTCTATTTTTTTATTTCTCTCTTTGTTCCCAGTAGCTGCTGAGTAGGAGCTAGCACCAAAAAGGGCTTTTGCACAGGTGTCTGGCTATAAGCTACTCTTTGCCTCTGAAGCTTTTCTCCATCCAGTAACATCAGTATCTCAGTGACGTGGAGCAAGTGCTCCGGGCAAGCACAGACGCAAGGCTCCTCTGATAAGAGCAGTTATCATCCGCGTTCACTGCTCTCCGACACGGAGGGGTTTGGTTTATGGCTGCAGTCTCAGAGCCAGCGTGTTGCTTGGTCTTACTTCACTCAACATATTTTAGTACTAGATAATTTTAAGGAAAAAAATGTAACATTTAAACCAAACCATGTGTGTGTTTTATATAGTGTGGATTTGGCCTCCAGTTACGCGCAGGAGCTGACGGGCACTGATTATTCATCTTTGGAAGATACAGTTTGGTTTTTATTTCTTACTTTAAGCCTGGGAGATTTTCCTTCCTAGCATCACTCCCGTCTCTAAAGGTCCAGTGCCAAGCACGACCACGAGACATGGTTTCTGCCTCAGGTGGAGTCAGCCCCGGTGCCTCCTTCCCGAATTAACGCGAGGTTGTTCGGAAACGAGGGACGAGTGTTCTCCTCTCCTCTCCTTCCGTGCTGCTTGTCGAGAACAAAACCCGAGTGCAGCTTCCAGGGAGAGCGGTGCCGTCCCTGTCCCGGGGGATCGGTTCTCCGGGGGTTAGGGAGGAGAGCGTCGGGAGCCTGCCGGATCCTGGTGCTGCCTGTGCTGCCCGCGACTTCTGGAGGGGCGGGAGAGGGGAGGCTCCATGCGCTGGCTGGCCTGCGCCCGAGCGGACCATGGCTGAAGCACGTCACGCTGCACTGCAGCCCTGTTTTCCCGTTGCTCTCTCTTATTGTTATTACTCTTTTCTCTTCCTTTTTTACAGAGCAGCCGGTCTTAATTGCTCTTACAGTAGATCATCCAAAGTACATTACTTAAAGATCAACGTTTGAATTGATTTACAGCGCTGCACTTTAACTTGACATTTTTATGTTTCGCTGCTTATTTTTCTAATTACAGCTGAAAGGAAATTTGAGATAAGTATCGTGTAATAAAGGAGCCAAAACTCCAAGGACAATTGGTTTGATGTTATATTCTCTGCTTGAATTAAGCAATCGGCTTTTTTGCTGTAATTAATTAGGGGGTTTGGAGTCAGTAAGGGGTGAAAGCTGTTCCTATCTGCAGTACCCTGCTAGCCCGTGTTGTGCTGAACACTGGCACGTTGATGTCAAATTAGGTGAACACTGACTCTCCAAGAATTCCGAAGCCACGCTCCGGGTGTACCTTGCTAGCACCTGCACTTAAGAGCCGGCTGCACGGGAGAGACACTTTGCCGTGGTGACGGGGGCACAGGCGCCGGCTGCCTGCAGTCCCAGCCCCACAAGCCCGCTCTGCTGACGTTCCTCTTGAAGCTGGCCGGCCGACCAGGGCCACCCCTGCTCCAGCCTTCTCCGCGTTGGTGGGCTAGCTGGGGAGACTCCAGGGACACAGCTGTGGGACCACCTGCTAGCTTTTAAAGTGTGTCTTCCATAAGGTATCTGTAGAGCAGTGACCTGCCTGGGGGAGCCCGGTTGCAGGGCAGTGGGGGTTGCGGGAGCCCCAGGCAGGCAGAAGGCTTTTCACTCGGTTGCAGCCCGCTTCCACTCTGGCCTGGGATGGAGCAATCCCAGTCGAGCATCCAAGCGCAATGGCTGTCTTCCCTGGAACGTGTCCATCTACTGAGTTTATTTGCTTGCGTTGCTTCCCTTTTTAATTGCATGTGAGTAGTTGTTTAAATCAAGTCACCTCTTCCCTCTTTTCCCCAGTTCTTCCTCTCCATTTCTAAGTGGGAGTTAATGTGAGATGGGTCACGGCTGAGGATGTAAATGATGCTTGTTCTTTTCCATATAAGATTGACAACCAAACAGATTTCCTTGTGCAGCGTGTGCTCCCTTTTGTCCGTAGGTGAGGTACGTGATGCCAAGGCACTCCTTGGGCAGCGTGCACTGTAGGAGTAGGCTACTGCTGGCCATCAGTTTCCCTTTCCTCGTAAATATAAGTGATGGAGCTGGAGGCCAAGAAACTTCAAGCTTCTTTTTTTTTATTTAAGCGTCATGCTAAAATGTTTCATTTCCACAGCCCGCAAGCTGAAGAAGCTGGGTAACCTGAAGATGCCAGATGAGGTGGAGGCAGCCAGCTCATCCAGCCCCACAGAGGAGCAAGCTCCCAAGATGGTGATGACGCACATTGATGGGTATGAGTGCCAGCCCATCTTCCTCAACGTCCTGGAGGCCATTGAGCCTGGCGTGGTGTGTGCTGGCCATGACAACAGCCAGCCGGACTCCTTCTCCAACCTGCTGACCAGCCTGAATGAGCTCGGCGAGAGGCAGCTGGTCTACGTGGTCAAATGGGCGAAGGCCTTGCCAGGTGAGGGGGGAAAACTAAAAAATCCCGTCCCTTCCCTGGCGCGTTCCTAAAGGCCCCTGTTTGCATCACCTGGGGTGGCTTTCAAAGGAGGTGGTCTGCAGCCCGTGTCCCACCGTCACACAGTTCCTCGGGAGAGCGTCTTCCCGAGGTGCCTGGCTGTGTAATATCTCCGTAAAGCAGGCTGCAGCAGCAGCAGGTTTGTCTCCTTTGGGTGCCTGCATGATGGGAGAGGCGACCGGGTGGTGACAAAGCATGTAGAAACTTGTGCTTTTGGGTCTGTCCCTGCTGACAGCCCCCAGCACGCAGTATTGCGTAGGCACGCGCCCGCTTCCCCGCGCGGGAAGGGCTGTGGCTGGGCAGGGGGTCGGGGTCTTGCTCTCCTCCCACTCTCCCTGCAGGGCTTTTGCCCACTTGCAGGGCTGTGTCCACCAGACCTGCAGAAGTCTTCTCTAAACAAGCATTAGCCCCATCCCATAACCCGCATGAAGTAGTGAAAAGGGTAAATTCCCCCAGTGAATCAGAAGTGTGCCACTTCGTGATCTGAAAGCGAGATGGGGGAAACTGGGCTGAAAGGAGCTGAGGCTTGAGAGATGGGCGAGATCCTTCCTCACCGGTTTTGTATTTCACAAGCTAATTAATTGTAAAATAGCAAGAGAGATACAAAATCCCAAAGGGCTTCTTCCTGGCAGTCAGGTTGCTCTTGTGTGACAGGCGGCTGGAATACATTTATGATGCATTCAGAGTCATGATATGGGATTACATTAGGGCTGGGAAGTTTCCAAATGGTAATAGTTACAGGTGCTGCAAACGAAACCATCCTGGTGATATATGTGTTTCCTCAAATACACTCCTTGCTTCTGAGCGTAGAGGCTACCAGTCTGTAACACGCTGCCCGTTGCATGTCGTAATCCTGCCGGCTGAATGAGTGAAACTGCAGAAGACTGAGATCACTGGGGGTGCAGCGGGATCTGGTTCACCTTCCAGCATCCCTGACACTGGGTCGCGGGGACGATACCGAGCTGCCTTCCTCACCCTGGCCCTGTTCCTCAGGGAACGACACAGGAAACAGGGATCCTGCTCTTTATGTGCGGGGCGATATGACCAAAGGAGGAAACTGAGACAAAACAAGTTTGCCACTGTATGCCAAAACCTGGCGATGAATTGCAGTCAGATGTTTGATGGTCCCAGAAATTCTGCAGTCCCCCTGGAAGTAGCCTGACCGGTGCTCCGGGAGGGCTGTTACTCTGAATATGCTTAAGTGCAGAATAGCCCATTCTATTTCTTACATTCTTGAGTCGGAAAAGGTTCACCTAGCTTGTGAAACCAGGGACAAATCATGCTTTCTCTTCTGGCTTATCTACATCAGGCATCAAGATTTCTTCATAAAAGTACACGGAGACGCATCAAACCAGACCGGCCATCTGGGGGCTGAGATTGTAGAACTGCGGTAGTGCTAATGGAAAGGGAGAGAGGGAGAGTGCTTTGAAAAACATTTTTTGTCGTAACCACCCCCTTATCAGAGGCTTTTGCTCTCCTGTACTGCAGCCGATCTCTGTCCCCGTGGTGCGTGGCCACGCGGCAGCGCCCGCCGAGGG